TGGGGCGGGCTTACTGTGCCGCGGACTGGGAGGGGGGAGTAGTAGTGAGTACGCTCGCCGCGTGTACACAACGCGTTTCATTCACGCGTCGCGTCGCGTGACTCATCCGCCGCTCGCCACAGGGATAACGCCGAATAATCTAGAACGCGGACCGATATAATTGTTAACAACTCGACTCGTAGATGTCGTAATGACTTGGAACAAAGATCATTGAGATGAGAAAATTATCGCGCTTCCGATGGGTGCGGAACAGTTCTACGGATCAAATAGCGTAATCATGTAAGTACAAAAGACACTGATTTTTGTGTTTGCGTAAAAACGAATATTAATCTAGGTTGAGAACTAATGAGAAATCTTGGTTTAGATTTGTAATCCGAAACGTTTTATGTTTGTTTCGACGTGTATGAAGTGAAATTTAAAAGAAAAGCAATATTATTTAACAGAAACTTTTTATTTAATAGCGAGTATTTTTTGCTGTAGTGCCGAAGTTTAGATAGCTAGTAAAGTTAGCTTCAGTAACAACGATATTAGTTATCATTATTTTAACGTTTTACTTTCACAATTATAATATATTTTAACTTCCGCGATCAATCTTTTTTCTGCGTACGTGGTAGTTACGAATTCAAGCGGGTTGTTAATTATTAAGTTGAAATTGTTATCGAATCTTGAAATAATTGCAGCCGTACAGAAACGCGTACCGAGTACTATCGAAACGCGTAATAAAAAATTCAATGCTACACTGAGAGAAGAAATTTCTAAAAAATAAAATATATTTTATAATAATATATCTACTTGTACCGATAAACACATTTTTATATTACAAAAACATTTTTCTCGAATAAGGGAATATACATTTTCCTAGAATCATTGTTTTTCATGCAACCGTTTATTTTATTCAGAGTTGTAAAAATATCAATTAAATTTGCCTCAATTTAATAATTGATTTGAGTAACTAATTTCTAATTTAATTACTTGACGATTAATATGAACCTATTTAATTAAAAATATTTTAATTAACCACCGACCTGAAGAAATCTAATTAAAAATCATTCAAATAACGATTGATTTAAAGAAATTAAATATTTTAAAAACTGTTGAATTAATGATTAAACCGAGCGAAAGTAATTAAAAATTATTCGATTAACGATTGAACATAGTCGATGTAATTATGGGTTATTTAATTGATAATTGATAGAAGCAATATATATATATATATATATATATATATATATATATATATATATATATATAAAAGGATATATTCAGCTCGGTTAGTTACCATAAGCAATGTAAATAACTACGGTTAATTTTGATTGACATCGATTGGACAATTTTCATACTGCTTTTTTTCTTACGCTTTTCGATTAAATTTGCTTATATCAATTATCAATTAAATAACCCTTAATTACATTGACTACATTCAAGCTTAATTGAATAATCTTTAATTATTTTCGCTTGTTTTAATCGTTAATGATTTTTAATTCGATTTCTTGAAGTTAATGGTTAATTAAAATATTTTTAATTAAATAGGCTTGTATTAGTCGTCAGTTAATTAAATTAGAAATTATTTACTCAAATCAGTTATTAAATTGAGGCTAATTTAATATTTATTGATATTTTTACAACTGTTGTAGTGTAGCGTTATCTCATTATTTCGCGCGTGTAATCGTAGTGCTAGGATAATTTTAAGCGATGACGGCATTCTGGAATCTTAATGGTGACTACCACTTTTATATTTATATCCAAAAGAAAAACTTGCGGTTTTGAGTCTCTCTATCCTCGATATGTCCACATTCTTTTCATATCACTAACCAGAAATTCTATTTTTCGTTTCAGATCTGACTTGTGGCTTGTGGTCATACGCTGGACGCGGGAGATGCAATTTTGGTGGATGCTGCACCGGAGAATCCGGCTCGGACCGAGCGAAATCGGTTCGAAGGTAATTTCACAAATTTTTTATACTCCAACGTTTTTAATCCTTTGCAAATCGCAAACTGCAACACAACCTAGTCCAACTGAAAAGTTTTGAGTTACAACGATCGCAAAGAGATTAAAACGCGCGTATATCAACGTGAATTTTTCTCGTCAAACCATTAGCTTAAATCGTATATATTATCTAATCGTCAATGTTATATCCTTCTTGTTCCAGATTTCTGTAACTGAACGTGGTCGATTTTGAGCTGCTGGTGTTTTGGTGAGTCAAAAACAAAGATTTACGGTGATGGATGTGGATTTGTCGGAGTTTATATATAACATCAATGCGATTTATATTTGGTTCGTAGAATTTTGCATGTACATTGAAAGAAAAAAAATTGTTAATCTCACTGCGTACTGAAATCATTTTCGTTGTAGCATTTACTACAAAAACCGAGTTTCCAATTACAATTAATTCACTGTGCAATCATATTCATAAATATTTTTAATATCAAATATTTTTCTCTCAATGTAGGGTGTTACTTATCTGTGTGTCATCCGAATTAAAATATACCGCTTGAAACAATCAAGGGACGTTTCTTTGAATAATTGTCTTATTTAGCACAAATCTAAATGTGATGGAATGCTTCTTTTTCATGTATAGATACCGACTTTCTTATATTCTTCCAAATTTATTAATTCTCAGTAAATTCATTATATGATTCATTATAATTATTCATTATTAAATTCATTATAATTCATGTATAAATTTATACGTATAAATATTTTGACATTTGATATATGTTTGATTAAAGATAATTATTCGGCAAAATTGCTCATTTAGTGTATTCTCTCAATTGTTTCGAATGATGTAAACTACGCAGCAGAATTATGCATCAAAATTATGCACTAGAATTGTGCACTGTAGAATTTTGCACTAAAATTGTGCATCCAAATTGTGCACAGAATATTGCACACGAATTGTGCACTAAAATTGCGCATCAAAATTGCGCCATTACCCGCGGAATTCGCGATTACTTTACTCACGAGAAATTTTAATGTCCTCTTTTTAATAGCCAATTTCTGAAATTTTTAATATGACGGCTTGTAATGTCATTTTAGTCGAAATCGTCGTTAAGTTCGATACGTATATTTACTATTTTCGCCAAATCTTAGATTCTCGCGAAGAAAGGATCTCGCTTGTTGACAAAACAGTCGTTCGCGAAACAAAATATTTTTTTGCTGTCGTCGGCTTTGTCAAACGCGCCGTGGACTTTGGATCACTATACATTTACGCGTGACTCGCGGTTACGTTTACACACTCGTTGTAAATTGATCATACTGTTCGCGTTAAGCGTTAAATGCCGTTGGAATGATTGCGATCGCGAGTGCAGTGAAGCGAAGTAAAATGGATGAAATGTGACCGATGTTGAATGGACGTTCTGGAGGCTGGATGTTGAGGACCTGAACCCCCTGGAGCATCCTGGACGCGGGATATCAACGCGCAATGGTGAGCATACAATCTCACGCTCACAGAGCGTCATGTTACGTAGTGCACGCAATGTGTAGACATAAATCGCATTGATTGCCAATGAGAAAGTCACTGCATGTAGAGTGACATTAATATTTCAAACATATTTGACGACTAATAGCGCTCGTAGCGGCGCGCGCGTTTGTAATGTCTATGATTAATATTTTACATGTGTTACCGTTATAATCATGTGGGAAATAATTTAATTGTGAGAAGTGTGGCCATACTTGGCATAATTACTAAAAATACGCGGCCCAAATGGTCGAAAACATTCGTGGTATTCTTTCGCTCGACAACGGCGGGCTGTAAAAGCGTTGAGAATGTTCCGTCGAATTAAAAGGAATTAAAGGAAACTCTCGTCCCGCTTCTTTCTTCCTTGGCTGCGGCAGCGCACGTGAGAACTTTAAAGCAGTTGCTTAAAATTCCCGACGCCGCGAACAGTATTGGCATTCGATTTCGCGAAAAACTCGCTCGCCTCTTTCGGGGGCTCAGGAAGCGTGGCGTAGTTTCTCGTTTGACGACTTCGGCGGTTCGTTGCATCGATACAAGAAGAAAAAAATCGAGGGGATGAAAAAGACGAAGTGAATGGACCGGTTTTCTAAGAGCGGGGGAGGAGAGTGAGAGTAGAGAGAGAGAGAGAAAGGGAAGAGGAGAGAGAGAATCCATGCGGAATTTAAATTGCTTCGAGCGAATCGCCGACGTATTTGCCTTTTTTCCCATCCCCGGCATACGCCCGGCGAGTTATCGCTCGTCGTAAAACTGCCACCGGCTGATCCCAGAATTCGCAAGCTATGGTACTGAACGCGCAAACATCTCAGCACTCGCTGCAGATTCTGAACAGTAGCAACGCCGAAGACGTTCAAATGCAGACCTTGATTCAGACAAACGACAAAACGCGGCTACTCGGACAATTATAGCGAGATATCGTCGTGTGTCGGGAAATACGGTAAATACGGGAAAAAGACGCTTGTGCCAATCAGATTCATTAGTAAAATATGGAACAACTAATTACGTAGTTGCTGCAACAACAGAGCAAGTGCTGACAAGTAAACCCAAAAGGTACACTCCGATTTCTTTCTAATTTGATATACATGTAAATAGAAGTGTAAAAAATATTTAGGTCATATTTTTTCATTTTAACCCACTTTTTAATGTTTTCATTCTTATCATTAACAAGTACAACAAAAATGCAAAAGAAATAAAATTGAATACAAGATATAGTTAAATAATTTTAACAAAATCGGCATAGCTGAGACACGAACCATTCTAAATTTCTTTAGCCGAGATTCCAACCGAAATATTTCAAATCTGTGCAAAATTAGTCAAAAATGGTTCGAATCTCGACCAAACCGAGAGAAATCCGGCAATTTTAATTAGAATTTTAATAAAGTCGGCATAGTTGAGACACAAAACCATTCTAAATTTCTTAGCCGAGATTTCAATCGAAATATTTCAAATCTGTACTAAATTAGTCAAAAATGGTTCGAATCTCGATCAAACCGAGAGAAATCCGGCAATTTTAATTAGAATTTTAACAAAGTCGACATAATTGAGATACGAAACCATTCTAAATTTATTTAGCCAAGATTCCAACCAAAATATTTCAAATCTGTGCTAAATTAGTCAAAAATAGTTCGAATCTCGGCCAAACTGAAAAATTATTTGTATAAATAATTTTTTTTTCAACTTTTTGCCTGTTTTGTTTAACATTTTATTATTTATACAAATAATTTTACACATTTGACTTTATATTCATAATCAGCGAACCAAAAACGTCTATATCTTATATTCAATTTTATTTTTTATGAATTTTTGTTACACTTGATGATAGGAGTGAGAACATTAAAAAGCTATAAACTGCTCGTGAAACTCAAAGTGGGCCAAAATGAAAAAATATGACCTAAATTTTTTTTGTACTTCTATATTTGTGCCGAATTAGAAAGAAATCGGAGTGTAACTTTTGGGTAGGTTTACTTGTGAGTTACTGACGTTGCAGCTGTGACGGTATCTAGTTGCTCCGACCAGGGAATATCCCCGGTTACCTCAACCGATCTGCCACAACCGGATCACGTGCAACTATATTGATATAGTTGCACGTATCAAAGTAACTGAATCATATTTCAACACACTACCATTATACAAAGATGACTAAAGTGATACAACTATGTTGCTCACAACGAAATATTTCTGATTATATGCACCCTATCTTTTTTGCGTAAGAATTGACAAACGCTACCCGTTTCTCGACTCGTGATTGTTTGAGCGTTTGGTTAATGGGACTTTTCGTCGTTTTTTCCACGTAAGGATTCGCGAAACTCGTCAGCGACACGTGAGCGATCGAACTGGGCGGTATTCGGAAATGGCCCGTAGGTCTATTCGTCTATATTTGAAGAGGTAAATTCGAAGTTGAGGCGCTTGTCCAGCGGTCGTGGACAGCGAGCGACCCCAACAGAATCACCGACCATGACATCGGTAAAGCGCTATAAATTTTCTGGCAATTTACGGAACGCCCACGCATCCTTGGGTCGGGATCCTCTTGGGAGTCTTCTTTCCGAGAGATACCGCGCGATTTCTCACGCTGGTGGAGAGAATTTACTTGCCAAATCCAGGCAGAATCGGTCGCTCAGTGAAACTTTGGGATTAAAGAATCCGTTTAGAAGTCGCGCTTCTTTCACTTCGTACTGCTCTCTCGAGGAAAAAAGTGTTGAGTCGTCTTTTGATAGAGCTGAGTTTGTTCTTCTATATTGTTTAATGCGTCGTCTCCTTAGCACGCCTCTATGGCTGCTTCTTCAGGTGTTTCAATATTATGCTCTTAACGAGCTTGTTTGATTGTTGTTCAGTGCCTCGAAGCTACTCTGTAGTGCTCTTTTTGGGTTGCTCGTCTTTGCTCGAGCTAGCAACGCATCCGAGCTGTATTCCGTAATATCGAGAGACATTATATTGTCATTAAGATTCATAAGCATATCTGAACTCTCTTCCATCTCACGGATATCCGTTTGATCTCCATTAGATCAAAAGTCTTTCGCGAATCGTGAATAGATTGAAATTAAAGAGTCCAGACAATGATTCTTTTACGTTCTAGATTATTCTATCTCTGTGATCCATTCAATTAGTCTGATACTTAAAATTCCTAAATTTCTATATTCAATTTTGAATTTGCATCTTTCTCGATCAAGAACCAAGGCCGGGGCGGATTTTTCCTCGCTCGGGGCGCAATTTCTCCTGGCAGGAGAAAGAAAAGCAAGTACAAGTCCCGAGATAAGAGGTATCGATGCAAATACAAAAGAAGGACAGAGTGCGCCTTCGCAATTTTGCATTATTCAAGCGTCAGCAAACACTTTCCTTCAATTGGGAAGGTTTAATACTCGCGACACAATTCTCTCACTTTGCATTCCGGAATCCGCGCCGGCATCGATATTTCAGTAAGGGTCTCCCCGACCGCCGGTCCTCAACTATTCCGTTAACGTGCGTCGAGGCCTCGTCGATAACTCAATTAAAAACTATCACCCGCCGCCACTCGTGCCTCTCGATCCGATCTATTAAATTGCTTCGTTTGGTAAATCTCGGACGCGCACCCGCCAACTTCTATCGCGAACGTATCCGTCCTCTGAAGAGTCTCTCGCAACGTATTGCCATCGCGGAAGCGCAGTTTGCGGAATGATTACGGGCTTGATCCTCCTCGAGAATACATAATCGGCCGCGGGGACAGGTAGCCTGATAGCGATCCACTATTCTTCGCTAATTCCATCTAATCGTTTCTGCCGGTTTAAAGCGAGATAAGTGGCGGAATAAATGATGCAGTTATTGATCGTTTAAGCTCACCTCTGCATCTTGCAGTTATATCGTTGGACGTCACGCACATATATGCATGTATGTGTTGATAGGAATATTACTTTAATGAATTAAAAATAAAAAGGAAAAGGACAGTATGAGCTTAACTTTTTGTACTTGTGCGCTAATCATTTATTTTGTCTGACAAAATTTGAATTTTAAAATATCAGTCTAAATTACGATTGCTTTAGTAATCTAAAATAATATATTGTCCCTTTTCTTTTTATCTTTGATAAAATTGTTTGATTAATTTTTAATCTAAGAACCCTTCGTTTTAATTTTATTGAATTCAATGAAATAATTTACAAACTTTTGTCTATCAACCAAAAACGATATAATTTTATTTTTAGTGGAATTTTCTTATATATTGGCTTCAAAAAGATTCTTCTAGAATCAAAAGGAAAATATTCCAAGCGCAATATTCTTAAAGCTAAAGGAATTTCGTCTTTTATATCTACAGTTCAAGTCTTGCTCTTCATAGAGATTTCCTGTAGTAGGAGGACATTCTGCTTCAAGTAACGTATTTCTCTCAGCTCAAAAGAAAAAAAAG